AAAGCGAAGCAAATACCGCCATACCTTTTCTATTTCAGGTGGAGATTGGGTAAGTATAAATTTGTATATGTCCCAATGTCTCGTTACTATTATTTTTTCTATACTTTTAAATATTATTTTTATGAAATAATTATAATACATATTGTGTTCATGCATGTATTTATGTACACAAAGTTTATGTGTGTGTGTGTGTGTGTGTGTATATATATATATATATATATATATATATATATATATATATATATATATATATATATATATATATAAAACTTACCTTTGTATATGTCATTTATAACAAGTGTTTTTACTGTGTTCCCTTTGGGCAATAAAGAATTTATTATTATTAATTACATTAATGTAATATGAAGTAGATTAAGAAGATCAAAATAATAAGTTAAATTATTTGGATTTTGCTTTACAGGTTCCATAATAATGTTAATCTAAATTACCTGCATGTATAGCATGGTATGGTACGAGTGTACCATGGAATAAAATGATTGAATACAACAGTAATGTTACATGATAAACCCGAGCCAGCGTTGTAGACTATAGCCTAAACCCTTTCTTTGGAGGAGACTCGTGCCCAGCTGTGGGACGTACTTACATACGTAGTTGATGGTGAGATCTAACATTATTTGCACGTAAACAATCTACTCTAATGTGTCGCCATATTATGGGAACAGTAATATCAAATATATTTATTGCAAATAAATCTCACAAATAGCAGCTGCCCTTCTCACCGGTTGCTTAAAATACATTGTGCTCGTGTAAACATATCAAGAATCAATTTCCGGGACAAGTCAGCCATTGACTACGCAATTTGGTACAGCTCTTATAAAATAAATGTAATGCCCATCCCATTGATAGAATCGAGCGAATATTGTACAATTCAAAGTCAGCCCGAAATGGGCGTAGAAGTAAAATGTCTATTTTTCTTTTATTTTACAGGCAATAGCTTTACTGTTACTGCTTGGCGGCAGAAATAGCTAAAGTGGCATTTCTATTTCTGCCACCAATAAGTAATGTGAGCGTTACTGCGTTTTGATGAGTAAGGGTGCTGGTAAAATTACTGGCTCTTGGGACTTGCCAACTTATGTTTCAGAGTGACGGCCGCAGTGGCAGTGTCCCTCACATGTTTGCAATATAGCGCCCTGCAACTGTTATGGACAAGCATGGCGCTTACCACCAGGCGCACGACTTGTTCGCCCAGCCACTTGGAATCATAAAAAAAACTCTATTTATATATGCATAGTCCGCACTATAACTTTCCGGAGCTGGCCTTTTACATAAACAATATTTAAAAAGTAATTACAGTAGAATACAGTTTGCTTCATCTGACTGTCACTTGTTTTTGCATTGTGGCGTTATTTTAGAAATTGGTAGTCTACATCACTATGGATTTAACTCGTGAAAATTTTCGTAGTATGATTTGCTACGACTTTAAGTGTAATTTAGCACCTCAGCGGATCTTTGCTTGGCTTCAAACTGCTTTTGGCGATGAAGCTCCATGCAAGTCGACTATTTATAGCTGGTTTGCAGAATTCTAACGCGATCGTGTGAATCTCAGTGACGAATTTCGTGATGGTCGCCCGTCCACTGCCGTGAACAAAAGAAACATCGATTCTGTGCGCCGTATGATCAAAACAGACAGGCATGTGACATACCATGAGATTCGGGCATCTTTAGGCATAGGCATGAGTCAAAGACAATCAATACTACACAAACATTTGGCTGTGAAAAAGCTGTGCTCTCGGTGGATCCCACACAATTTGTTTGAGGGTCAAAAAACGAATCGCTTCACTTGGTGCAATGCCATGCTTACTAGATTCAACGAAGGGGCATAAATTTGGTGTAGGATATAGTAACAGGTGACGAAACATGGATTTATAGTTACGGTCCCAAAACAAAGCAGCAATCGAGCCCCATACGCTCTTTCGAGATGAGCCGAAACCAACCAAAGTGGCGTGCGTGCAAAGTGCCTCTAAGCAGATGATTGCTTCTATTTTTAATAAAACTGGACACGTGGCTACTGTTCCTTTGAAGAATCGAGTATGAAAAATATGTTTCAGAAATTGTCACGGAAGAGTGGCACAAATGTTTTCAAAATTGATTCATTGGTATGAAAAAGTGCATTAACGCTAACTATAACACTAATGGTTTTTGTTTTAATGTGAAACATTTTAAATTTAACTCCAACAAAATAATAGGTTAGAATTATAAATAGAAGAACCATGAGTGAATTGGTTACAAGAAGATTATGTACACTAAAATATCCTAAAGTAAACTTTTTACTGGTTCTTTGTGCAAAATCTGTTTAGGTAGGTATTACCTAGTCCTACCGTAAAGAAGCACTGCCATTTTCCAAATTAGAGGAGTGGGAAGAACCAATTACATCAAAGTCACAGAAAACTAAGATCTTATAGTTTCCATCGAGTCACAGCCGCGGAATCTCATGATTAATTGGTTTGAAACATGTCAAGCAAAAATGCTACTTAAGTACGTTAGTTATCCGTTAATTTATTCAATAAGATCTTATATCCCACGAACAAGTCGTGTGTCAGGTGGTAAGCGACACACATGTCCATAACAGTTACAATGCCACTCTGAGTTTTAAATCACAAATATCTGCCTCTGCCCCCGTGACCCTGAGATATAAGTTGATAAGTTCTATGTTCCCTCTTCTTTCTTTTTTTATAATACCAAGTGACGAGACGAACAAGTCGTGCTCCTGGTGTTAAGCGACACCCTCACACTTCAAAAATTTACTGCTTGGCGGCAGAAATAGGTAAGGTGGCGGTACTTCTCCGGACTAACTCTTTCACAAGGAACTCTACTGCTACTTAAAGAATTTATTAATTAATATTGGAAGCATTGCTGGACAAACATTGTAAAATTATTGGGGAACTTCACGGTAAAAACTTGATGTATATTTTTCAATTTTAGAATAGAATAGACATTTATTGCAACGCCACAACACAGATACAAAAAAAATTATAACACAATCAAGAAAAACAAAATTAAAGAAATAATAATTAATTAATAAACAAAAATAAAAAAATACAATAAAAAAACAACATTAAATAAGACAAATCTGACGAAAACAAATTATAATGACTACAAATTTTGTACTGTCATTTGTGTGGTTGTGATGTACGCAAAAGGACTTCATTCAGCATAAGCCACAGCCTTAATTGACTGCAGCGCTGGTTTGAGCTCTCAATGAGCCCTGATATTTTATATATATATATTTGAACATAGAACTTATCAACTTATATCTCAGGGTCACGGGGGCAGAGGCAGTGGTCAGATATTTATGTATATTTGTTGACCATAAGGGCACAAAATAATTTCACCAACGCCCGTAACCCTTCAAAATTGAAGCGCAGTAATGTGAGATTACTGCTTGGCGACAGAAAGGTGGTAGCGTTTTCCTGGGCGAAATCTTTCTCAAAGTGGTCTACTGCTGCCGAATAAACATTAAAATAACAACGACAACAACTGAAATGTAAATTGTGTTTAGTCATTTCTGCGTCCCGTTCTAAACATTCTCTTAATAACGGAAATGGAAAATAAAAAATGTAATTCACGTAGCTCTAATTTATACAAAAACGGCGACTGAGTCTTATTATTATATTACGTGCGGGCCCGAGTTTGCTCATGTACTTCTGTTTATTTCCCCTTATAAATTAAAGCAAATATTCAGGGATTCTGGAAACAACTCTAAATTGATTTGGCTTGGGTAAGCCTTCTTGGGAACTACACAGGTAATCATTTTAAGTTTATATTAAAATTAATTTAATTCTAATCGTTTCTCTTCTAATTAAAGTTTCTAATAGCAGTAGAGCTTTTTGTGAAAGAGTTCGTCCAGGGAAGTACTGCCACCTTATCTTTTTCTGCCACCAAGCAATATTGTGACCATTACTGCGTTCCGGTTTTGAAAGGTAAAGGTGCTGGTGAAATTTCAAGCACATGGGCCTTGTCCACTTATGTCTCTAATATCTTTGCGATTTCAAGCTCTGAGTGGCCCTACAACTGTTAAGGACAGGCGTGTAGCTTACTACCAGGCTCACGACTTGTTCGTCCCGTCATTTGATATTATATAATAATAATAATAACGCACACACTCAATAAAGCCCCGCACTAGGGAAACCCTATGTCACGGGTGCCATGGACACACACATAGACAGCCACAAATTACACCCACACTCACGAGAGAAATAAATATAGGCCATACAAATATTTCTTCCGGCCCGGGAATCGAACCTGGGACCTCTGCGTGGCAGTCCGGCGTGGTAACCGTTCGACCACGGAGGCAGTTAAATATAAAAAAAATCTTTAATTAGATTAACTATTTTGTAGATCTCCTCGAACGTATTTCTTCTTGAAGGCGATCATAAATTGCGGGTGGTAATTTTACATTCTTAGAGATCAGCTATATTTAGTATTCGAACATAATATAACAGGGGTGACAGTAGGTGTAATCTGTTGAAGAAGTTTCTAGAATCTTACTATCTCGCAGAGAGAATGGTTGAACTGTTATGCGAAGTCAGAAGCACTCCCTGCAACAGTTTGTATCTCCACCAGCTGTCGGCGGCGGCGGAGCGAACTCCTTCAAGCAACCGCGAGAACCTCCCGAAATACGATACACCACTCTGCACCGCCAGCTGACGTCAATTAATCGATCCGAAAACATACTAATACATTTTTATTTTTCCCTGAATTTAGTCTGCCTAGTAAGAAATATATCGAATATTGTCAGTAGAAGGATATATTATATTTTATTATAATATTTATACCTTTGAAGACATAATATGCCTACTTGACGTTTTATTTAATAAATCCGTCTGTGTACAATAGGTCATAACATAAGTACAAAATAATTAATTCAGTGTACGTCGAATGAAACGTTAGGTTAAATCCTCAGTTGGGAACGCATGTGCAGTCGGGCGGCAACTTACCAAGAACTGGAGCCCAACACGGCGGGCACCGACAGTCGCGCCTCGGGACTCCAGCCGGCCGCACGTAACACCGCTACGCGGCACACGCTACGAACTTCTACGTACTACGCGCGATATGATGCCGCGCAAAGTGTGAAGTTTCTCCCAAAGTTGCGATGTCAATTGAATGATGTCGTTAGGAAAACTTTTGTTCTACGTACATTTTGGACTTGTCTTCCATGTAGTGATTTGCTTTAAGGACACTGTTGGTAAGAAATTAAGAGACTGTTTAATTACTATAGTTCATTATGCTGCAATGACCTTCACTAGATACTCTATTACTGAATGACTGTAGCTCGTGTAAGCTACATTAACTCGCAATAAACCAATCTCCGTTGCCGTGACTAGAACGTATAAAGTTCAGCTCAAACAGTTAATTCGCACTGAAAATTTCGCTAATTAGCAAAGAAAATTAATGTAACCTTAGAATAGTTCGTTTAGCTTAAAACTTTGATTTAGCCTAATTCGCCTAAAGTACTTTTTCATTTTCAGCAGAGGTTTATCTCATGCCATTTATTGCTCCATTAATAGCTGAGGTAATATCATTTCATTATTAATAAAACCAACTATTATTTGATGAAAACTCAAAATGAGAGTAATTAAGCAGGTAAAATTTGTCAACCAAGCGACATCGTGTCTCACGAATTTTACTTCTTCATTTTTGTTCATATTTTATGTATTCAATATAATGTAATATTAAGATGTAAAAATATTTTTAACAATAAATGCGAAATAATTGCTATAAGGGTTTGTTCGCATGTCGTACAAGTATCAGACGATAATTTAGAATAAATAAATGGTCCCAAATTTCGTTGAAATTTGAGCTTTACATTGAAAAAGTATATATGTCAGCGAAGATATAAGTACGGGACCTTTTAGAATAATACGCTTTTAACAATTTCCTGAACCTTTCGTGCCGTGGTATAAAATTAAATGAGTAAACTAGGAATATTAATAAGCAAAATATGTATATTCACATTACAATAAGTAATTACTTATTCATTAGTGCAATTTCTAGAACACTATATAAATACCATATTTATTAATCCTATCACAGGCGTAAACATTGATCCGAAGAAACTATAACAATCAGACAAACTTTCGCATAAACACCACTCTCGCTGTCAAACAAACATACTGTTTCTGAAAAGAGGGAAATGTAATGCGTTTAAATACAAACGCTAATAATGCAAACGCTCGGCTGGCAGGTTACACTTTGACTCTGAAATACTCATTTTTGCCTTATGTCCACTTCTTGCATAAACTTAAATCTTACTTAAATACGTCTTAAATCAATGCTTGGAAAGCAAATGACACATATAATGTATTTATGGTAGCCCTAATATATATGTTTAACATAGCTATACTATGCAACACAAAGTAAAAAAGACTCCACAATTACAGTAATTTATTTTGGTACATACGGCGTTACTTAATACGGTGTGTTAAGAATGTCTTATCTTTTTTTAAATATTTTTTATATAATATCAGGTGACGGGACGAACAAGATCGTGCGCCCGATAAGCTACAACAGTCCCTAACAGTTGCAGTGCCACTCAGAGCTTTAAATCGCGAAGATCTGAGGGGCACTTCTACTGCGCCCGTCACCCCGAGACATAAGTTGACTAGTCCCATGTGCCTGTAATTTCACCCAATATTTGTTAGTGCTAGTGGACATTAGTTAACGATGTCTGTAAACGAAATTAACAAAACAACTTGCACAATTTTGGACCTTTAGGAAGTTTACCAAATTCAATCATCCATCATCGTACTCTGAAATGAGTAAACAATTTTTAGATTTTTGTACAATGATAATGATGAATTATTATATCGATACCAGAATAAAGAACTTACATTAAATAAAGAATAACAGTTTAAATTTAGCATCTGCGAGGCACTGAAGTTCATAATAGGTAACACGACCTGTATGCGATGTATCCGCCCACAAAGCATTCACCTTCTTATAATAATCTAAAATAAATACAAATCAACTGTTTGTGTTCACTGTTAAATTTAACGAGTGTTCATATTGTATTTAAAGTTGTGATGATATGATATTAAATACTATGAGAATAATATTATAGAATTGTGTTATATGGTATATATAAGGTAAGGATAATTCATTTAGGTTTTTGCTATTGTTACACATAAGAAATGGCTTTGAATCTTTTCAGATCTAAATTTGTTTCAAACAAACCAATACTTCAAGCTCTTTACAGGTCTCGTAATCGTTGCTGTCTGTCTGTCATAGTTTAATTTCGTACTAATTCACTTTGTTTTTGAATTTCATTAGTTAGACTAATGTTCTTATAATTTAAATCTATTGTTTTATAAAAGTGGTAGTTTTTTTAATATGCCGAGTGACAGGACGAACAAGTCGTGCGCCTGGTGGTAAGCGACACGCCGATCCATATCAATTGCAGTGCCACTCAGAGCTTTAAATCCCACTAATCAGGGGGGCATTGATTCCGCGCCGGTCACCATGAAACATAAGTTGACAAGTTCTCCGTGAATGTGATTTCACCAGCAACCTTTTCAAAACTTGGCGGCAGAAATAGGTAGGTGGCAGTACTTCCTTGGACGAACTCTTTCACAAGGGGCTCTACTGGTATGAAAGTTGCCTAGAACCCCAGATAATAATTAATACAATATAGAACCAACCTAAAACTATTCTGACCAACTATGGAACATACACACATCAAAAAAAGTTTGCGATCAATAGCATAAGCTCCAATAATTCTTTAAATTTAACTTTATCAAGAAAAAATCTATGTTGTATGCTTTCTTTAAATAGGAATACCCTGTTTGAAATTAAAATGTAAAACTATTATTTAATATTTATTTTAAAAAATTGAGCCATTAATTATAATGTAATAGTGATAGAAATTTCATAGAAAGAAAAACACTGTTTAATTAAACTTAAACAACAATCTATTATTAAAAGGTGTGAATTCAATATAAAATAACTCCTCCCCTGGCTCGAATACATGCGAAGATCCTCCTGGGCATGCTGAGGATCAAGTTATCCAGCATTTCCTGGGGTAACCTATCCCATTCTTCAATAGCGGCTTCCCTGAGCTCTGGAACTGTCTGGGGACGTGGCTCACGGTTCCATACTGCTCGTTTAAGAGCATCCCACGCGTGCTCTATTGGGTTTAAGTCGGGCGAGCCGGCAGGCCAGTCTAATCGTGTGATATCGTATTCTTGAAGAGCAGCATTGACTCGTTGAGCTCGATGTGCGGGCGCATTATCATCGACCAGTACAAATTGGTGCCCATGGTTTACTCGGAATGGTCTGACGATATCATCAATAGCAACTGCTTTGTACATGTCTGCTGTCATGAAGCCCCGATACGGGATCAAAGGCGTTCTAGCTCCAATCATAATGCCACCCCAAAAGGACACCGATTTTCCGCCTTGCTGAACTGTTCCAGTGGCAGTTCTTTGTCTTTCACGGTCGCCTGGTCTTCTCCAGACACGGACACGTCGGTTATCTGGATGAGTGCTGATTCGGGATTCGTCAACGAAGAGACAGTTTTGCCAAATGTTTTCGTCCTCACCTTCTTCATTTTGCCGAAGTCTAGCCCACTGCAATCTTCGTTGTTGACGTTGCCGGGAATTGAGCGGAGCTCGCCAAGACCGCCGTGCTCGTAATCCAGCCTGGTGCAAGCAATTGCGAACGGTCTGCGTGCTAATTTCAAGCCCAGAGGCGGCCCTGACTTCTGCTTTTATTTTAGTGGCGTTGATTGTTGGATCACGGGCTGCCAGCAATCTAATATAGCGCTTTTGGGCAGCTGTCAAAACAGTTGGGCGACCGCTGCGGGGTCGGTCAGCTAAATTCCCCATTCCGTGATACCTCTGCAACGTAGCCACGACACAGGATTGGGATATAGCAAGTCTGCGTGCTATTACGCTCGTGGTGTATCCTTCTTCCCTCAAAGTTACTATTCTAGCTCGTAAAACCTCTGATAATCCTCTTGGCATTTTTTCAATCACAACTTTCCGCGAAAAATATCTTGAATCGCTTATAATTGACTAAATCAGATTTCTGAATGAGCGTAAGCTAGGACTGAAAGCCTTTTTATATGAAAAAACAATTGAACGGGGTCATTGTTTTATGTTCTAATTTATTTTTAAATAAAGAATATAAAAAGAAGAAAAAATCATTATATAATCTACAGTAACAAAAAAGATTTCAGTTTTTCGAAATGATCGCAAACTTTTTTTGATGTGTGTATATGGATGATGATCAATATCAAGAAACATAAACTGAAAATTTTCATTACATTTTCGGACGGAAATTGATCCATTGTTATCACTGAACCGCGAGCTTACAATACTCGATTTTCTAATGCAATTAAAAGTTGTTGGACGAAATTAATAGTGCAAAATTGGTTGTACAACCACAATTCCAACAATACAAACATTCAATATTTATTAAACTTCATCTAACTAAATAACAACAATGTCGTGCTTAAACATGGCCGATCTCTAGTTAGAAAGCTTTGTATTACGTTCCTTGAGGTTAGTACTTGTTATTAATGTTAACTGCTTCATTGAAATTTTGTTACGTATCTGAGATTTCTATTTTCACTTTTTCTTCCTATTTTCTTGTTCATAATTCAAAACTCAAAAATTCAAAAGTTCAAAATTCAAAAACCAATGCTTCAAAAAAAGGAGGAGGGTTTCAATTTGACTGTATGTTTTTTTTTGTATGTTGTATGTTGAATGTTACGTGATAACTGTGAACCGTGAATTTGTGAACCGATTTTGATGATTCTTTGTTTGTTCGAAAGAGGGTACCCCAGTAGTGGTCCCAAATTAAATGTGCCAAATTAGGGGATAAATTCGATTTCGCACACTTTAAATACCCAGGTTAAAACTACCAAGAACAAAAGTGACTACATAAAAATATCAATGCGAGTGCAAAAAGCGAAAAACGATAGTTAGAAACGTAGGAAGTCGATTTCAGAAGTCTCGTCCTACTTCATAAGGAGACAATCTAGACTCTATGAACATATTTATGAAATGCTAAGTATATAATTCATGTGACTTTTGACCACATCGTACTCATGTGCGTATAATATCAACTTTTTTGTATAATATCTAGCGATGGGACGAACAAGTCGAGCGCCTGATGGTGAGCTGCGCGCCTGTGCATAACAGTTGCAGTGCTATTTAAAGCTTTAAATCGCAAAAATACATATGT